TACTATAAAGCAACTCTAATCAAAACATAAAAATAGAAGAACAAAAACAGACACACAGACCAAAAGAACAAGCTAGAAAGCTCTGAAATAAAGAACACTTTTCTTTTAACTTTAATTTTCGGTTCAAGGGTACATGTGCAAGTTATATAGGTAAATTGTGTGTCATGAGAGTTTGGCATAGATTATTTTGCCACCCAGGTAATAAGAATAGTACCCAATAGGTGGCTTTTCGATCCTCACCCTCTTCTCTCCCTCTAGTCTTAAGTAGTCCCCACGGTCTGTTGTTCCCCTCTTTTTGTCCATATGTACTCAATGTTTAGCTTCCATTTATAAGTGAGAACATGTAGCATTTTCTTTTCTATTCCTGTGTTATGTATCGACCCACACATTTGTAGTCCACTGATTTTGACAAAAGTGATTTTGACAGAAACACACAATGGAGAAAGGAGAGTTTCCTCAGTAAATGGTGTTAGGAAAACTGGACATCCATATGCAGACAAAGAAAATTGGACCATTATATCTCACCATGTAAAATAACCAACTTGAAATGGATTAAAGACTTAAATCATAGGCTTTAAACCATAAAACTTCTACCTGTAAATGTTAAGATGGAGGAAAGTTCCATGACATTGGTATGGGCAATTATTTTTGGCTATATCCCCAAAAGCCCAGGCAACAAAAACAAATTAGACAAATAGGACTGCATCAAACTAAAAAGCTTCTGAACAGCAAAGATGACAACAATGTAAAGACAAAAATTCACAAAATGGTAGAAAACATTTGTAAACCACACATCTGATAATGGTTGACGTTCAGAATATACAAAGAGCACAAGCAACTCCATAGCAAGTAAATAATAACCTGATTTAAAAGAGGACAAAGGATCTGAGAAGACATTTCTCAAAAGAAAATATATACAAATATTCAATAGGTACATGAAAAAAACTCTCAGTGTTACTAATCATTATGAAAATCCAAATTACAACCACAATGAGATATAATCTCCTATCTGTTAGAATGGTTTTTACCAAAAGCAGATGAAAGACAACAAGTGCCGCAGAATGCAGAAGTAAGGGAGCAGCACCAAAACCAAGGCATGCACGGGATTTAAGGTTGTTTTTGGTCCAGTTGTCAGATTCCAAACCAAACCCCAGTGGATTGCAAGGATGACCAAATGAAAACTCTGTTTAAGACTTCCTCAATTTTTAAAAACAAAAGCAATTACTGGAAAGTAAAACAATTAAGAGGGATCATGTGTGCTTATGAGTATCTTCATGTGATCTTTCTCCAAGTTCAACCATCAAGGACTCTGAGAGTTGGCAGGTCTGAGTAACCCTGGTGACTATTCTTTTCACCTTATCAAAACCTTAGCTGAAAACAATGGATGAGCCAATGACAGCAGAGGGTGGCAGGGCTGAGGACCCAATATTCATTTCCCAGGCTGATGGACATGAAAAAGTACAATTCTAAAACTAAACAAGGGAGGTTTTCCAACCTTACCTGAGGGCTTCTGGCCAAAGCAAGGAAGTGTCATGAAAGCTGTTGGGTGGTGATGGTGCAAAAAGGATTTCGAAGAGGAGGATAGAAAAAGCAGCATCCCTCAATAAAGGTGGGGGAGAGAAGATATGGGGGAAGCTCTGAATTCCTCACAGAAGGCCAATCTCAGAGAGGAGTGGGGGGATTACAACCTATGCTTTGGCCAAGGGCAGTAGTAGAGGAGCGTGGGGACAGGATGATGGCTTTGAAAGGGCATCATTTAAGACTTAAAGAAACGAGGGGTACAGGCAAAGCACCCCTCACACCCAGCTACTGCTGGGACCTGAAACCTTCACATGTATTCTAACAAGACCCCCAGGCTAGAGGGCTGTTGTTGCAGGGAGAGAGGGAGGTGGGGGAGGGGGAGGGAAGAAGACAGAGACCCCAGCAAGGTGATTGTGTATGTGTCTTCTCACAGTTGAGTTAGATGTGCTCCAACACTTATAATAGGAATCAATTTAAGTAGACTTTCTTGATTCCAGAAGTTCAACTATGTGGACAGTGGTTACACTTGACAAGATGATTTATTATAGCACAACTTATATAATTCAAATGGACAAAAAAATTAGTATCATTTACAGTATCTTAAGATAAATTTCTGGCCGGGTATGGTGGCTCACATCTGTAATCCCAGCACTTTGGGAGGCCAACATGGATGGCTCACAAGTTCAGGAGTTCAATACTAGCCTGTCCAATATGGTGAAAACCCTTCTCTACCAAAACTCCAAAAATTAACTGGGTGTGGTGGTGCATGCCTGTAATCCCAGCTGCTTGGGAGGCTGAGACAAGAGAATCACTTTAACTGGGGAAGCAGAGTTTTGCGGTGAGCTGAGATTGCACCACTACACTCCAGCCTGGGTGACAGAGCAAGACTCCATTTGAAAAGATAAATTTCCTTTGAATGACAAGTTCCCTTCCAGTAGACTTTGAGGTCTACAAGATATATCTAGAAAATTTACTATTGTGGAAAATGAAGACTACTGAAATTGAATGGGGGGAAGGGGAAGGGCCTGTGGTTTTTCCTTCTGATTACTTGCTGTAACACAGTCCTTCAGGTGGCTGAGGGAATTTCACATCTTCTTTAGACATCATTAGGTGCCAAAGTGCTTGCATGACAACTTTGATGCTATATGAATTCTGCGATTTTTCTAGCACTGACATGGCCCTTGGATGCACCACTCCATTAGAACTATTAAGTCCATTCATATTAATTTTTGTTACAAATCTTACAAAGGGGGTGCTTCTGGGTATTTAGGTCCACATGCTATTTTAAGGCTGTATAATTGGTTTTCACAAATTCTTAGAGGCCCAATTATCATCCCTATCCATCTTGTAAATGTCATGTCTTCATCATCTTCTAGACCCCAGCTAATTGTCCCACCTCCTACTTCTTTCTGGCCTTCCTTGAGTTCTTCCAACAGTCAGAAATTATGAGCAACTTTGACTCCCAAACCTGTGGTGGCTGACATCTTGAGTCGCTGTGCAAGAACTTATTTTCAAAAATGTATTAATAGCATCAGATGCATCAGAAATTTAACTTCAACCATGCCAACTTCATTTAGAAAAGTTGACATATTAATCTATTTAAAGGTCACACAAGTTGGATGTTAAAGGGAATACTGATTTTTTTTAAATATGGCTACTGTAAATCCTTACAAAGTTAGTTAAAAAAAAAAATCTAATCTATAAGTTTAGCATCACAAGTTTCCATGAGTGAAATTGCTTAGCTATTATTTCTTTATAATATTTTTCTTCTAGCATGATATACAAAAGAAATTCATGCTTTAAATTGATTCTCAATTTTTGTCTGCAGATTCTCATCCACATTTTAAATAAAATGCCAAAGTGGAAACTTCTCAGAAATCAAACGAAAAGCAAGAAGACCAAAAGGTGACCTCTCCATGTAACATTTAAAATGAAATCTGTTTATTTGATAGATATATGCCTTCACTTCTTTCCAAGGCTGTAAGTTATTAGAATTTTTCATGCAGCCAAGACCTTTCCTACTCAGCAGCTTTCCAATTCTTCACATTAACCTTTTCTCTGAAGCAGGACCATGCATGTTATCACAGCCAGGGTATTGAAAAAGGCTTCATAGAGATTAATAATGGAAGGGACTTGGCACTGCTTGTCAAACCAGCCAAGTTGTTCCTCTTTGCTGCTCATCAAGAAATAGTAAGTGCTCTTCCAGACAGGCCAGAGCAAGGGGCAACAAGCCTACAGTTAGCATCTCTAGGGAAATAGGACAAATACAAATGAATTCTTGCCCTTGGCTGCACTTGGTATTGAATGGTTTCTGAGTAGTAACAGCATGACAGCTATCCGAAACTAAGAGAAAAATATTAGCCTGTTTCATTCTACAGAGAAAAACATTTTCAGTAATCACTTTTCTTGTTTTAATGTAATAGCAACTGAATATATAAATGGAAGGCAAACAATGGCAAAATCAAATACATAGAACCTCATTTTAGCAGAAGAGAATGAATTCTGTAAACATGAATTGATATTTTATCTGAATAAAAAAGAAGAAGATATATGTTTGAGTAAAGTGACCTACAATAATAGAATTCGTGCCTCTGGATAATTAATTGCACCAATAGCTACTATGAACCAGCAATGAGCCCCTGGTATAAAAATGTCGTTTTTGAAGGGCGATTGTGTGTAAGAATGACACTAGTCTCCATTGCTGAAAGAGAGTGTGCCCTCAAGATTTCATACTGCAGTAGAAATGACAGGAATGTGTGTGTTGCTACCCATGTCTTCTCTTCATAAACTTCTTCCTGTTTATTAGTGATCTCCAAGTATGCCATGGGGCATTTTCCCACCTGCAAGAGTTGCTTTATCTCATCTCAACCTCTTATAATAAAATAAAGGTTCAAAGTCACACAAGATTTGGGTCCCAGATGACTCGTCCAGGACGTAAATCTAGGTCTTGCATTCTCCAAAGCTTGTGCCCTCCTACTACTCTGAAATCAAAGGACAAACGCCAGAGTTGTACTCCATGTGCAGTTGGTACCAACCCACCTGGAAGCAGTGTTCTGTCAATGAAAATAAAATCTACTGATCCAATCTAGTATTCATTTCAAATATTTCCACATAGTTAAGTTCCACTTAACCCATTCATTACCACCACAGCATTTTATAGCTACATTAAAGAGTTCTTTTGAATTTTGTTTCATTCACATAACATCAAAAGCTACATTTTTGTTTAGCACTCCTTCATAATCAGTGAAAACTGACTGAAAATATATTCCATCGGGTTAAAATCTTCATGATTTGATAATTTTTATATATGGCTTGTCTCTTTGGTAAACAATATATCTTAGTTTCTGATCTACACTAAAGGCCTGTAAAATAAAATCCATACAGAGCCAGGTATCTAGCCAAATCTCTCAGACTGCTCAAAGGCTCTGGTTTCAAGATGTACAGGAAACTAAAATTGGAGAAAGGTGAATGTCACTTACAGTGCCGTTCATCACTGTTGTCTCCACACTGATCTGTGAAGTCACAAACACAGTCAGGAGGCAAGGAGACTCCACTATCACACTGAAAACTTTCTGTTCCTTGCCGAGTCAGCGCAGAAGTGAAAACACAGGTAATCCAAAGGAAACAACAAGCTTCATTCATTGGGAATGCCAACATCCTGTCCAGGAAGAAAGGCATTCCTTGGTATTGTCCATTAGAGATCAAGCAGTGGTAACAAGTAAGTCCATCATTGGAAACATTCTTTTTTTCTGATATTCTTCCTTTCCCAGATTTGCTTCTTCTAACTGGATACTATTGGTGACTATCTGCAACTCTAACAAATTACTCCTCAGGCAGTTAATTTACTCTTTCAGAGGAGTGACTTTAGAAAATATTTAACTTGAGTAATTGCATTGCTTTTGTATCTAGCTAACCATAGATGATTATTGCTCCCTGTATGCCATATTTACACAGTTTAAGCCTTTACAGTCATGCTATCTCCTGAAAGACATTTGTAAAATATGAAAGCCAGGAAAATAAATAGGAGGGGAGAGGAAACCATGATAGAGTTATAACTTGCATAAACATGGTCTGTGGTAATTCCTATACTCACTTAATCAAATTCATGTAATTTAGAACATTATGGGGAACACTAAAACATACTCAAAATTTCAGGCCCAATTATTAGAACTGCTCTATGAAAATAAAATGCTTATCCATTATTATCACCTTGCTTGTTTTGTTTGTTTGTTTATAGCTCACAGGTGCTAGTAAGTGCTTCTTGAGATAAATTATAAAATACAGATTTTTAAAAGTTGAGGGGACATTGGATGTTATTGTTAATAAATCATATAACCCAAGGAAGTTATGGGGTATATGTGAGAAAATACGGTAAGTTGGTGTAAGAAACTAGAGTTCAAATATCCTGCTGTTAAGCCTAGTGTTCCCTCTCCTAAAGCACAAGAATTTACCTGCCAATTCATCATAATTGACTTTTACAAGTGAAACACGATTTCAGGATGCATATTCAGAACGAACAATATATTGAAGTTGAGATCACACAGACATATTAATTACAAATCTCATGAAGGTGAATATTATGGAAATTGTGTGACGTTGAATGTTCTGTTTATATTTGATTTCTTAAGGGCATGTTAAAGTTCTTTTTCAACTATTTTAATTTCTACAGTATAACCACAAGACACAAAAATAATTGGAGAATGTAGAGTGAAAGGACCAGAGACCAGGAACAGAAAAGGCATCAGAATTTTTTAAAATGTTCTAAAAATCACTCATATTCTAGGGAAATATATATATATATATGGTATGGACATTCTGGATTCTGGGGGGCAGGGGGACAGGAACCCACAATTCCGCCTTACCTCTGAGCACTCCACATAATCTAACATTGTATTGCACTGTTTCAGTCCTGTTTCAGAAATTCCTTCTTATCTCTCTGTTTTACAAATAAATGCTAATAAATACCTCATCCACCTCTTTTTGCTTGTCCCTTCAATGTTGACTATCGTTATAGTTCACTTTTATGTTTCCTTTTCTCCTAAGATTATATTAATACTTTTTTCTAGGCTCTCTCTTCAGTCATGATTTCAAGTATGATCCCTTTGTTTTTGTTTCCTCAATTTATATCTGCAATCCTGATATGCACTTATTCCTGAGTGTGCACACATGCGTGCACATGCACACACACACACACACACACACACGGGCACACACACTCTAATTGACACATCTACTTCAACAGAAATCTAAACTCATCTTCCTTTTCCCCACCAGCCAAACAGCTCCTATTCCCATGCTCCATATTTCAATGAATGGAACCTTTCTTCTGTTCAATTATCCAAGTAAGGACTGTCTATATTGTTCCTGAACTACTGTCACCTATCCTACCTATTAATACCCTGGTTGGTATTTTTTGTATTTCAGTTGAAGACTCTATTCATTCTCACCTCAGCACGTTTCTAGTTCTCACAACTTATTTCCTGGTCTTTGGGTAAAGTGACCAGTCTAAAGCACAAATCTACTTCTATTTATTTCCCGCTGAAATCTGTATAACTGTCATACTCTGAATGCAGCTTACAAATACAGCTTACCTTGCAAGGTTCAGGGCTTCCTTATGCTCTCAGCCACAGCCTTATGCAGTGACTGTACTGGCAGTTTTCTAAACATGCCATCTCTCAACTCCAGATCTGAGATCCCTTCCCCACACCAATCATCAGCTTAATCATTATTCTTTATTTTTCATCTCAGGAGACTTTCTTTAAGGTATCGGCTGATTTACTCAGGCTGAGTTATATTCCATTCCTAGGTTCTCTCACGGGATTCAGTACTTATTCTTGAGAGAACACCTGAAGGTCCAGTATGGTCATTGTCTCCTTATGTGATTCCTTCAGTATCCTATGAGAATGCAGCAGACTGTGCATTCGATCTCTAGACTTGCTTATCCTACAAATATGCTGCATTGTAACCTATGAGCTACATTTCCCCCTTTTCTTCGGCAATCCTGATAAACACTGATTTGTTTTTTACATCTGTATATTTGAATTTCCACATACAAATGAGATTATGCAGTAATTTCTTTCTGTGTGGCTGCTTATTTCACTTAGCATCATGTCCTCCAGGCTCATTCGCACTGTGGCAAATACCAAGATCTTGTTCTTTTCAAGGGCCAAATAATATTTTATTGTATATATCTACCACAATTTCTTTATCCATTCATCTGTCAGTGAACACTTAGGTTGTTTGTTTCCATATCTTGGCTTGTGAGCAAGTGTAAAGATCTAATATACAGGTCAGGCACAATGACTCACGTCTGTAATCCCTGCACTTTGGGAGGCCAAAGCAGTTGGATCATGTGAGGTTGGGAGCTCAAGACCAGCCTGGCCGACATGGTGAAACCCTGTCTCTACTAAAAATACAAAAAATTAGCTGGGTGTAGTGGTACATGCCTGAAATCCCAGCTACTCGGGAGGCTGAGGCAGGAGAATTGCTTGAACCCAGGAGGTGGAGGTTGCAGTAAGCCGGGACTGGGCCACTACACTCCAGCCTGGGCAACAGAGTGAGACTCTGTGGAAAAGAAAAGAAAAAGCTGAGGCGAAGCAAGGTGGGGCAAGGTGGGGCGAGGTGGGGTGGGGAGGGAAGAAAGGAAGGAAGGAAAGAAGGGAGGAAGGGAGGAAGGGAGGGAGGGAGGGAGGGACTGGAGGGGAGGGGAAGGGAGGGGAGGAGGGAGAGAAAAAGAAAGAAAAAGAATAAAGAGGGAAGAAGAAAGAAAAGAAGCAAAAGAATATAAAGAAGCATGTGAAGATACAGAAACATTCTAAATTCAGGTCTCCTAACATTTTTTGTTTGAAAAAAAAATCACATATTTTGTTGCTGTCATCGCTGTTTACTGCCTAGTTTCAGCCAGTAAACTGCTTTATTAACTGTTACTACCTACTAAAAATAACATTTCTCTATGATGTTTCAAGTGTCATTCATCATTTAAACAAGAAATGAACTGGAATGGTGGCATCCAAAGTAACTCTGTGTCATCCAGTAGTCTAATATTTTATAAAACAAATTTATATTTTGTTTCTAAAAGATAAAATTATTTTCACTGATAAATCTTTATCACTTTTTCTCTAAATGTACCAGAGGGGGCAAGGAATAAAGGAATAATGATAGCACCTAGGGTTGTTTTTATCTAGTTTATTAAGGAAGAAGAAGAAAGACTGATTAGATTCTAGAGCTCTAACACTGTGCTGGTTGCTTCATAAACACTGTCATTATGTCTGATGTTTCCTCCTTTTTTGTTCTCTCCTTTTCTTTAAAAACTAACATTCAGGCCGGGCACTGTAGGAGGCTGAGGTGGGCAGATCACTTGAGGTCAAGAGTTCGAGACCAGCCTGCTCAGCATGGCAAAACTCTGTCTCTACTAAAAAACTAGCTGGGTGAGGTAGCACACAGCTGTAATCCCAGCTACTCAAGAGGCTGAGGCAGGAGAATAGCTTGAACCCAGGAGGCAGAACTTGCAGTGAGCTGAGATTGCGCCACTGCACTCCAGCCTGGGTGACAGAGCAAAACTTCATTTCAAAAACCAAAACAGAGACCAAAAAAACCACCAATATTCAACATATTATAGTAAGCGTTTGTCCAAGAATACGTAATTATTAAATGTAAGAGTTTAACATAAACCCAAGACAGAAAACATACCCACATGTTTTAATTGAATTGTATTGGTAGTGACTTTTATCATGGATTATAAAGCTCCCAATTGAGACATCCCCAAGGCAATAGATTCCAAAGTAACCATGTAAACCTATTAAAGACATGGTTTCCTCTTGTATTAAAAAGAAAATGAGCACCTATTTTATGCTACATATTGGAGACAGGTAAAAGGAAGATAGAAAAAATATAGTGAGTATTAAAGCCATGTCCCTGATATTAAAAAATTTTAAACACAGGGAAGGAAGTATCAAGGCACTTGCAAAATATGTACACACATTACTTATAGTTTTGTCAAGAATGCTTAATTACATTTCCTGTTTTTTAAAAAGCCAACTCAGTAACTACAGAAAAGCTGTATGTTGGATGGAATGGGATATAAAATACTCTTAAATGTATAACCAAATGCTGAGCTTGCAAAATGTAAAGCCAGTTTCCAAAGTTGAAAAGGAGATTGGCGGATATAGAGGTGACACAACAGAGAGTTTACTACTAAAACATCATGTTCAAGAATATTTTAAACAAAATTCCAGGATTAATGTAAAATAAGCATTGAATAAAGGTTTGAGATGCAAGAAGAAATGCTGACGAAAGCCTGGAGACACATTTTTGAACTGCAGAAATCCAGAACACTAAATCTTAAAAGATGAACTTGGAAATGTGATAAAAGGACTTGAACCTGCATAAATGGAGAATTAGAACGCATATCTTGCATAAGCCAGAGGAAGAATTTGCTAGGAAAAAATTCCTGGCACCTTTAACAAGGAACTTCAGGACTCCATAAATTATATCATCTAAATAAGAGCCCAAGAGAAAGGTTAACTGGCATACAGGAAGGAAGCCTCTACCACTCAGAGCCAAAACAATCAAACAAGCAGAGGCAGAAATAGACACTCAAAGACTGTCCACTGGCATTGTGAGATAGATAATATAAAATAACTATGTATCAAATACTCTAAAAGATTAAATTTTAAAATTATGCACAATGAACAATAAACTAACAAAATAACCAACCATGATTTTGTTAAATAATTAAAAATATAATTATTGAAAAGAAAAATAACAAAGAAGTGAACACAGAAAAAAATTGATGTGAATA